ATGCCCGAGGAGGAGCTCAAGGCCACGGTCAGCAGAAAACGCTCCAAGAGACTAAACAGCGATGAGTTTGATGAGCTCTGGGCGGCCGCTCTTGGCGAGGTTACTGCCCGAGACGAGGTCGAGGTCGAGGTCGAAGTCGAGATCGTTCAGACGCAACCGTAAGTCACCTATCCCCGTTCATTCTCGCTACACTATGCGTCGCTTCATTTTTACTTCACTGTTTCTGACAAAACAACTAACCAGATCCGTGATTGACCCTACAGACCGTCCGATTCCCCCAGCCTTCCAAACCGAAGGCTATCGTCAACGTCTCTCGCTCGCCTTTCGCTCACCTGCACGCTCAAGCGCCACCTCAGACTCAGCCTGGCAAGATATAGATTCACTATTGGACTTCTGATCGCCTCTGTCCTTGCCGTTTTCTATATGCGGGCTCGCTATCGCAAACATGTAGCGACGTCTGCCCAGATCCCGGCGTTGGTTGACCTGGTCCTGGGACGACTGGCCAACCAGAAGGAACTCGGTGAGGAAGAAATCGATGACCCGTGGTTGTTCTTGCCAAACCTCCGGGACGATGTATTGCGATCCGTCCACTCGCTGTCTGAGCGAGAACGGGTGTGGCAGAGGGTCCGGGCGGTTATTGAACAAAACAGCAACGTCCGCACCAGTCAACGAGAAGGCCGAAGCGGCGAAGTTGGCCGCGCCTGGGAGTGGATAGGCCCCGTCGCTGGCGAGGGTGCCCGGAGACGTCGGAGCGGAAGGGTGTCACTTGGTCCCGATTTGAGGACCGAGACCCCGGAGCTCACGCCGGAACCGAAGAAGTGGGGGGAGACGAGGCCGATTTACTAAGGCATGGGTCTCATTTAATTTTTACTCCGACTGTCGATATCCTCGAGGAGTCACTGTATTTTCTTTGTCTGTAACTATTGTCCTCTCGCTCGCTACCGTCAGGGAGTTAGTTGGTCTTACGCCTTGGATGTTTCCGGCCATGAAGTGACAGTACTCTGGCTCGGCGTTGGGGTTCTTTGTTGTATGATTTGTATGGTTGGGGTTGTTTATATCGACTGTCATACTTTCGTGATAATAATTTACTCCATCACACCTATGCCGGGTACTTCGGAACGTGCGTAAACACCTTCACATGCATGCGACGGCACTTTGAGTGACTTGCGAGATTGAATTACCAGGCATGTCAATGGAGATTCATTGATATTACCTGTTCGTAATTGCGAGCTAATTATGTGGTGCTTTGGCGGTCGTCCGGGAACGGCGATATCGGAGATCCCGGTCTTTCCCGATAGGCATTTCTTGCTTTGAGCTCCGAACAAACAACTTCACAATCCACCTCAGCTCAAAATATCTCACAGCAGCAAACAGCTCTCCAGTAATCGGAAACTAGGGTCTTGATTGATTCGGCTAATGCACAGGTGTTGTTATGACACAGGATGGGTACAAAGGGAAACAGGGGAATCTGTGTATCTAGACTCTAGCGGTTGGAGGTAATTTATTGAGCCTTGGAGGCAACGATCTCTGTAGATGATAGTTAGCAATCAGATCGCAAGAATTTAAGCTCATCGGCGTTGCGTACTCTCAATATCAGCCACGCTCTGCTGGAGGATCTGCTGGAGAACCTTGGGGTTCTCGAGCTCCTTCTGGACCTTGGCGATGATGGACGCGGCCAGCTCCTTCTGCTGACGCTGCTTGACCTGGCTCTCGTATCGCACCCAGGAGTCGAGGACGGACTTGGCCTCAGCGGCCAGGGCAGTCTTCTGCTCGAGCTCAAAGGTCTGGGCCTCGAGCTTGGCGGTTTCCTGCAGAGATCCATCAGTACAGTCCGAATTCCACCCAATTGCATCTCGTATTTACCTTGGAAACCTCGAACAGGGTCTTGGTGACGTCGACGACGCTGCCCATCTGCTTGACGTCCTCAATGCGGACCTTGACGGCCTCGGTGTGGTCGGCGCGGGCGCTGTTGAGGATGTTCTTGATCTTCAGGTTCTGGGACTCGGCCCACTCCTTGTAGGCAGGGCCACCGTACTTGATCAAACCACCCCAGACGGAGAGCAGGCAGAAGGCGATGATGGTCTCCTCGTTCATGACGTAGTACTCGTTGCTGAGGGCGTAGATGCTGGCGCCGGCGGTGCTGCTGAGGATGGCGGTCTTGGTGATCAAGTGGTTGCCGGGGATCGCATCGATGAGGCTCTGGGCCTTCTTCTTGGGCTCCTCGGCGGGGACATTGCTCGTGTATCGAACGGCGGCCGCGGAGATGGCAGGGGCGGCTCGGCGGGCGAGGGCAGGTCGGAGGAGGGGAGCGCCTGCTAGAGGGTCAGCGTCGCGCCAATTGACGACGAATTGGCTCGCAATCGAGCGTCACACGTACCGACGGCGCTTCGAGCCAAGCGGGACGCCATTGTGAGATAGATTGTGATGGGGGTATCGAGGGCGTAGGCTTGACGTTGCTTCGGGAGCTGGGAATACTGGTTGAGGTTTTATCGCGCTAGCTCGGCAACAATCAAATACACGTGACCTGTAAATTGCGCAGCTGCACGGCCTGCGCCGGAGGGGAGGAAATCTGGCCCGCCGGCATTTTGCCGTCGTCGTCCCTGGACCGTCTTGGCGCCGCCCGACGCCTGATTGGTCCGAAATTTCATCTGTCAAGCTCGTAGAGAATTTCATGCTTTTCACCTTCTTGAACCGACTTATACCTGTCTTGAACATTCAACATTGAGCATCTGTCTGCCCGGAGACCAGCTAATTCTGCTGTTTCAATATCCAAGGACGCCCTGTCTCGGAATTTCCATCTGCAACTTTTCACAACCTCAAACCCGCTCACAACATGCCAGTCGCTGCCTCTGGCGAGCGCTCCAAGCGCAAGCGGCCTTCAAATACTGACAAGTCCACCAAGCGTCGGAGGTCCTCCGCCAGCAGCGATGAGTCTGAGGACCCCAACGCCAAGATCCTCTCGATGGAGCAGGGGATCTTGGAGTCTAAGAAGAACTACAACGACATTACCGTGTTGCTAAGCACCATGGATGAGTTCCGCAGCGGCAACCCAGAGGGCATGTTGGCGGCCGTGGCGCTCTGCCGTATTTTCGTGCGATTGCTGGCCCAGGGTGCTCTCATCTCCAAGAAAACCCTTTCTGAGAAGGACTTGGTGGTGGTTGGCTGGCTCAAGGAACAGTTTGGCGAGTACAAAGCCAAGCTCCTCAGCATTCTCAAGGATGAAGATCTAGCTCTCACCGGCTTGACGCTATGCATGAGGACTCTCAAGGCCGAGGGAGAGTTTCTGTACGACAAGGAGGAGTACACCTTCCCCAGGGCCTTTATTCGGGACATTGTGTCAACCGTGTTCCTTACTGACAACGAGGACCTTGTGACTGCCTACGTCGAGGAGTATGCGGAGCAGTTCGATGACATCCGATATTACACCTTCAACTCCATCAAGTAAGTCATCTTATTTCCCTTTGCTTGAATCTAGTCTAATCAAACTAAACCAGGTATGCCGTGGAAAATCTGTCCGCCAACAAGATTCCAAACGGTTTGTTTGATCGGGTCTTCTCTCTGCTATCTGCTCTTGATGGTGTGCCCGAGTCTGCTGAGGAGCTCCAAGACTTCTACATTCCGCGTCCCAAGAAGAAGACACATTCCCTTCGCAACGTCAATCAGCACAAGAAGCAGGGCCAGGACGCCTGGCTCGCCTTGATGACCCTTGTCGACGGCAAGGAGGAGCGAAAGCAACTTCTCGACATCATCTCCACAGTCATTGCGCCGTGGTTTATCAAGCCCGAGCTGTTGTCCGATTTCCTGACCAACTCATACGATGCTGGTGGCTCCATGTCCTTGCTGGCCCTCTCCGGTGTCTTCTACCTGATACAGGAGCGCAACCTAGACTATCCATCTTTCTACTCCAAGCTCTACTCATTGCTTGATCGCGACATCCTTCACTCCAAGCACCGATCCCGTTTCTTCCGCCTCTTGGACTCGTTCCTAGGATCGACCCATCTTCCCGCCGCGCTCGTGGCGAGCTTCATCAAGCGCCTTGCTCGGCTAGCGTTGAATGCGCCCCCCAGCGCCATCGTCTTTGTGACGCCTTGGATCTACAACCTCCTCAAGCGCCACCCGTCATGCACCTTCATGATCCACCGAGAGAACCGGGACCCCGAAATCAAGAAGCACATCAGCGAGCATGGTGCCGAGGATCCGTTCTTGCCAGACGAGACGGATCCTATGGAGACCCAGGCTATGGAGAGTTGTCTGTGGGAGCTTGTGCAGCTTCAGTCTCACTATCACCCCAACGTTGCCACTATTTCGAAGATTATTTCCGAGCAGTTCACAAAGCAATCCTACAACATCGAAGATTTCCTTGATCACTCATACGCCACTGTAAGTTTACCCGTCTAGTGTTTTCAAGAATGCACTAACAATGTAACTAGCTCCTCGAGGCAGAAATATCGAAGGATGTTAAGAAGGCTCCTGTGGTTGAGTTCCACATTCCAAAGAAGGTGTTTACGCCACATGACGACGCCGAGCAGCCTGAACAGGACAGTCTCCTGGTCAAGCTGTGGGATTTTGGGGGAGCCGCTCAAGAAACTCAGGTGGCCTAGAGCTCCCGTGGGGGGTAGTGGTAAAGGAGAATGAATCATAGAAGGGAGACCATGATATATACCCAGGCATGTGCGAGAATGAAAGGAAGCTACCGGCATATGCTAAAGGACGATTACACAAGAACTCGCACAGACCAATCGGTGAAAATAGATCTGAGCAAAAAGGCGTTTATCATTCATCCCTAAAGGTATCAATCATATCATACTCGACGAGAAACCGGGACAAATTATTCTATAATTTCACAATACAAAAGATAACCGCTTAAACCAAGTCTTAGCGGCTGAGAAATGTGATATGCCTGTGTCTTTGCAACGATGTGTAGATACTGAGGCTCTAATCACAGGGCAAAAATTATTTTTCATCCTGCCCCTCCTGGCCGAAGAGGCAAAAATTGAAGCCGACACAGGCCTGATTCGAACAGACGCCTCCGAGGAGATATGATTTCTAGTCATACGCATTAGACCACTCTGCCACTGTGCCTATTGGGCTGAGATATGATACCGGATGCGTTATTGAGTTATGATAGCGTCAAGCGAGGGCGCTACAAACATTTGGATGCAGGCTGATCTGGTCAGTGGACCCGGTCATGCGGGCTTCGTGGCGCATGAAGTTAGGATGAAATGCAGGCGATCGAGGTCGTGTGCTGGCGTTTCGCTTTCCCTCCGGCCCGCCCAATGCAAGCAGAGACTCTCGCGATTTATGCAAGCCAAGAAGTAAATGTGAGGCCGTATTTGATTTGTTTGGCTGGATAAGCCCTGAAGCAGCGACAACGCAAAGCCAGGTACCCTCGGCATGTGTTCGTACGTGTTAGTCTCGGGGAGCTCGAGAGACCTGGAAGAATTGGGACCCAGGCATCTGGTACGTGTTGCGACAGCGCGCTAGGGCCGCTGTGACCTGCTGTGGCCTGCTGTGACCTCCTGTAGATTAGCGGACACCTGCCTAGCGTGTGGGTCTTGGCCAATTAAGCCAGTGCCTAAAGCACCCACCGACCAGCCTCCGAAGAGCTGACATCATCACTCCTAACTCTTCCAGCTAATAGTCAATCAGTGCACCAGCCATCAGCCATTCAGACCAGCAATTGACTCCCCTCCGCCAAAGCCCAGCCCTAATCATCTCACTGCTTCACCTTGTTCTTGGGCTCCCTACAAGCATATAGGTGGCTCTTGGGCAGCCGTCCAAGATGTCCAGCAACCGCTTCGATACGCTGGTCAAGGCGCCCAAGCCTGCCTCTCCAGCCCCGAACCCGCCAGTCGCCTCCGCATCTGCATCTGCATCCGCATCTGTATCCGCTGCCAACGCAGCCGGTCAACCAAGGGCCAAGAAGCGCAAGGGTCACCGTGGTGGCAAGAAAAAGCGAACGCGGAGGAAGAGCTTTGCCGCTCTGGACGAAGATGATGAACATGATGAATCCCAACAGGAATCTGGGGAGGGGTTCTTCAAGATGGCGAATGCAAACCTGAGTGGCACGAGCATCGACAGCGAGGCCTTGTTGGACCACAGGTGCGCTCCCCTGCCACAATATATTGGGATACGCCCAGTTAGCTGACCAGTTTCTAGGGATCATCAGCCGTTGCGCATCAGACGTTCCTCAACAGCTCCAGCTCCCCCATCACCCTACGTACCAAGCTTCACCAACCAAGGCACCAGCCGACTACGATCAATGCAAGAAATACAGAGCGACGACGAACAAATCGACCCTCTCACGAGATGGGATGAATCGGCACCCCTTCTCGGCGAATCGAGGCCCCGAGGGTCGCAGACAATCCTATCCAACTACGGCGCAAGCGACGTCAGGTCGAGCCGGCCCCGAAGCCGCAGGGCATCGAACAAGTCCTCCATGACAAGACTTGGGACTTCCAACAGCGGGAGGGATCGATACGATGTGAACCATCCCCCTTCGATGCCTGGATCCCCGGCATTTGGTGCTAGCACGCGTATGGATATGAGCTTCGGAGATGTCATGATTCGGGACGAGATCAGTCTACGAGACGAGTCCCCACGGCAATCAGTTGCAGACGTGTCCGATATGGGCGGTGTACTGAGAGACATCCGGCCTGAGCTTAGCAGGAGGGCAGCAACCGAAGCTGAGCAAGACGTTTGCTTCCCCGGGCCAGGCATGTCTGAGATGGGTGACGATGACGCACAGTCAAGGAGTCGGGAACCTCGCCGGTACAGAACACGACGTCGTCGAGGCCAGTGGCCCGACCTGGCGGTTCTAGAAGAATGGAGCCACATGGAGAAGGAGGGCCGAACAGATGAACGCCGCGTCAAGAGGATCACGGAGCCTCAGCTCATCAACGGTCGACTACGCCCTGTGCGGAAGGGCTGGTACCAGACGGACGTCGAATCGCCATATAGGTTTACCTACTTCAACGAGGAGTTTCCGAGTACGATCCACAGCCAGACCATCTCCGAACTCGTTCAGTCTGGTGGTGGTTTCCAAGAGTTGTTCATTCCAGATCCCCCGGTCCTCTCGTCCGACGATGAGACCGATGATGACGAGGATGCTCTTTCGGTGCCTGTTAAGCTTCATCATTTGAGTGGCGGCATGGAGGGAGGATCAAAGGAATCCACTCGCCAGCCATCTCTCTCCACTACGCGCGAAAACACTGATCCCCGACCCGAAGGGATGTTCTCGCCACCTTCAAGGGATCCGCTGGCCCATGTGGCCTCGAGGAGCGACTCCGGACGCGGTACGCCCTCTGGCCAAAAATCATCCGACGAGAGCGCGAAGGCCTCTCAGGCCCCACTCATCGAGACCAAGGAAAAGGTCATTCGATATGGCGATCGGCCTGTGTGGTGGCTTGACGTTACATGCCCTACGGAACCTGAGATGAAGGCCATATCCAAGGCCTTTGGCATCCACCCTCTCACGGCGGAGGATATCATGTTGCAGGAGGCCCGAGAGAAGGTTGAGCTCTTCCGACACTACTACTTTGTCAACTACCGATCCTTCGATCAGGACAATAACAGCGAAAACTTCTTGGAGCCGGTCGACATGTACGTCGTCGTTTTTCGAGAAGGTGTCCTCAGCTTCCACTTCTCTATGACACCACATCCCGCCAATGTCCGTCGCCGAATCCGTCAATTGCGAGACTACCTTATCCTGTCGTCGGACTGGATCTCGTACGCCATCATTGATGACATCACCGATGTCTTCCAACCTCTGATCCAGAATATCGAGGATGAAGTAGACGAGATCGATGATGCAATCTTGAAATTGCATTCATCTGCCGAAAAGCGTATGAAGGATGATTTGAACAATTCGAAGACTGACGACGCTGTGACGGTTTCAGACCCCAGCAGTGACATGCTTCGACGTGTGGGTGACTGCAGAAAAAAGGTGATGAGCCTTTATCGATTGTTGGGCAACAAGGCGGACGTCATCAAGGGCTTTGCCAAGCGTTGCAATGAGCGATGGGACGTTGCACCACGGTCCGAGATTGGTCTGTATCTTGGTGATATTCAAGATCACATTGTCACCATGACGTCTAATCTCGGACATTACGAAAAGTAAGCTTTGTTCCCTTCAGCCATCCCTTCTACCTTGAATTAATCAATTCTAACAATCACAGGATACTAGCTCGATCCCACGGCAACTATCTAGCGCAGATCAACATCCGCATGAACGAGCGACAGGAACAAACGGCCGACGTGCTCGGCAAGCTCACCGTCCTAGGCACCATTGTTCTCCCCATGAACATCATCACCGGTCTGTGGGGCATGAACGTCTGGGTACCGGGCCAGGAGTATGAGGGCGACCTGGCGTGGTTCGTTTGGATCGCTGCAGGTCTAATCTTCTTCGGCCTGGCCTGCTTTTTAATTGCGAAGAGAGTATACAACATTGTTTAGGACATACGGGGAGCAGCTTAACGGTCTCTGAAAACAGGAAAGTGTATTATTCTTGGGCGGAGAGGCTAGCATTTGGGTTGGCGTTTTTTCCCTACTTGAGGTTGACCGAGCGTGGGGCCTTGGGTATGGTCCTCTTTCTTTTTGTATTCCGTTATTTTCATCGGAGCGAGCGAGGTCCGTGGGCTCTGTGGTTCAGGGCATGGCCGGGGAGGGGGTTATCCACTAGAATGAATGCCCAGTGCTGGATGTTTGGGTATATTGGGGTTTCCAGCGATTGGATTTGGTTCGCAACGGCCGGAATATACAAAATTGCTGCACATTAGGCGTGGGTTTCATGTGCAAGTTTCAGCTTTTGGTTGGTATAGTGCCGAGGGTTGATGGACTTAATGCAGGGTGTACATTTTGGCATAGACCGTAATCACCATATATAAAGAACAACCAAATATCAAATCTTGCAGGAATGTCTCGATGTAGTTGCGCCTATGTCTTTGCCTTGCGGTTATGGTCTAATTGACGGCTTCTTGGGATATTGTCGACAGTAGTCTACTTGTCATTCTCATATATATTGCTTAACAAGTATTATGGTTTACCAAGGGATACACAAAGGGCCTGAAACGTGCAACCACAAACCCCAATACTCAGAGATAGGCTTTTTTTCGACAACTAATCTCAAACACTTAATACGACAGACCATAAGCAACAAACGGTTGTTCCTAGAGAAAGAAGGGTGGTAGTCTACCCTATACTAAATATCGAACTACTCAATGGCAATTACTTTTTCACTTTCATTATGGACATCACTCGGCAAAGTTACATCATGTCGAATAAAATTGTCATCAAAGTACATTGGAGCCGTGGGTATCTAATTCCATGTCCATTTATCTCCATGCTGTCCTCCATGTATATGTATCCCCGACGATACCACCGCACCACACAGATTCGACGATTTCCGTAATGTAGGTAGTTTACTTTTTCGCCATGAGAGCTTTGTCGTCGCAGAGTACACAATAGTACAACTCTTTTATCCCAGGGAGCCAGGGCCTTGCTTGTAGCTTGTTCCATATCGAAATCAACTTGCGCCATAACGCCAAAACGAAAGTTGCCCAACGACGCCGGTCAAGAGAGCAAAGCGCTTTAGGAAAGCCTCCTGTCTAGCTCTCTCAATGCGACGTTGGATTAAAATGACATGTGCCGACAATGATCATCGTCGCTGGACACCAAAGCTTGCTCGGAGAGCCAGAATCTGTTGTCGCTCAGCCTCAGGGAGCATGTCGATTTGGGCCTGAGGAAGCTCCATGACGGCCCTCATAAGAGCATCAGAATCCTGGACAGCGGGAGCAGGAGCAGGAGGCGCCGCAGGAGCACCATATGCCTGCGGCGGCGCCTGGTACGGCATGGCGGCGACAGGAGGAGTGTTACTCGCACCAGGGTAGCCGGGCATCGGGGCGGACGGGTAGCCAACAGGAGGAGCCTGTACAGGTGGGGGAGCACCGGGTTCGACAACGGACTGGATGGCTTCGGGGGAGACGAGGCCCATCAGGAGGAGGGCCTGAAAGACGGCATAGGCCAACTGTGGGGCTTGCTGGAGGAGTTCGGTGGCGCGCTGGGGCTCGGAGGTGGCCAGGGTC